GTAGTTTCTGAAATAAGTTTTATTTATATTATTTTTTTCTCTTAGTCTTTTCATAATACGATTTTTAATTTAAAATTGGGATGCAGCGTAAACCGACACACCTGTCCGTAAAACAGACTATGAGCTAACTTAATCTTTATAATGTTGCTTTATAGTGTCAAATAAGTCTATTGGAGCTGAAGGCAATCGTACACATATGGAACAACTCTAGAAAAACTATCACGTTACATATTTGCATCTTGCAGAACAGTATAAAGTAAATATGCATATAATTCAATAAAAATGTTTTATAACGAAGTAAAATCATTTTGAAAAATCTTATATACATTCACTTATAGGTACTTTATACAGATAATTCCTGTAAAAGAAAAAAAAATAGGAATACGTAGAATTACTGCCTACTGTGTCAGTTTTGGAGCCCATTTTGTCAGACGCTCACTTTTGCATAACTACGAAAAACTTAAATATTGCAAAATTGCAAACAGTATTATAAAAATTGCTTATACTATCTGATAGAAGACACTTTTTATTTTGTATTTATGTTTTTGAAGTCGTATTTTTATCTTTTGTTTGAGAAATATTGTCTAAAAACAAAGTGATATGTCGGTATCCGTGACCTTCCTCTAATAATATAATCAATTGTTTGGTAATAATAAATATTTGGAAAAGCACAATTATCTTTTGTTTAAATATTTGATTGGAATTATTTCACTCACTAGTAGCTATTACCAGACTCTTTTTTTAGTACAGATTAATAAACGTATAATTGCACATGTCACTTCCCATTTTATACTAAGCTATCGCATTTTGTCGCATCGATCATTCTTTCCCCGGAAATTATCATGTGGGACGATTTATTTTCTCCACGTGACAAATAGCAAGAGACTGCAGAGAAATGCATCATCAAACCACGTTTCTGCGCCAGCCACGTGTGCATGACGCGTCCGTTAATAGTTCGTTCTATTCCTCTTTCTTCTGCACCGTCTCCTCCGTGTCCAACGCACTTACATCGGCGAGGTCTTGCTTCTTAATCTCACGATAAAAAGAAAATTGCCGGCGCAACGATAGCGTCGTGGGAACTGGTGATCGTGGTTACGGAGGTGGGGTTGACGAGCGTTCGCGAATAGGACACCCGCGTAATTAAGCGTCCGACGGCACAATAACTCTCCACCAGTCGGCAGAAATACTCGCAATCAAGAGGCAGCGTGGAATTCAACGATTTTCAGTTTGGTGAGAAATAGCGGGTGTTGAAGCGCGTTTACGGTAACGTCGGAGAACCGCGCGCAAGGACAACTAAAAGTTTTAAGCTTTCTTGTAGCGGTGAAAATTCAGTCAGCTTCTGCGTTGCTCACAATCTGCGAACTGCCCGATTATACCGATCACGATCGAGAAAACTTTGGTCCACAATGGTGGGTTCAGATATATTGCCAGCAGTGCCAGTACTAAAAATCTATACATTAAAGTGCACTGTTAAATATCAAAGGAACAATGGTAACCCAGTTTCTTGAGTTAAATAACATTTTGTTATTTTTAACTTCCATATATGTCAAAATGTAAATCAATCCATTTTTATAATTCTAAAATAACGTCCATATTACAATGTATATGCTAGTAAATAATAAACTAAGTTTAAGTCAAATTTGATACATTCTCTTGAAATAAATTATTTAACTCCATTTCAGCTAAATTAATGACATATTTAATAGCAGCCACAACATATAAAATGATTAAAAATAACTCAAATTGAGTATAATTTGACATTATGAATTTAACAGTGTGAAC